AGGGCACTGATGATCAGTGCCAATCCCTTCACTGACAATTGCCGGTTCATGGCAGTACTGTCCTCATGCTGTGACAGCGTAAGGCATGTGCAGCTGATAACCGGCAACTGTATTTACCCGGTGATCTGCTGTGTCAAAAGGCCGCCATGACTTGCAGTTTACCATATCACATGATCACGGGCGGTGCCGAGTGCACACCACTGGGGGTGCGCAGGGGGCATGTTCTGGAATGACGTCCATGGACGTCGTCCCAGGATTACAAAACCATGCTGTAGCCATCCTTAGCACAGTTGGGAACCGGTTAAAACTATCTGACCTAACAAAAGGATTAAAAATTTAGAAGCTTGAATTCTACATTATATGTTTATGAGGGGAAACTCTGTAAGGGAATTTATCAAAACTGGAGCAGACAGAATCTGAAGCAGCTCTGCATGGCAACTAATCATTTTCTATCTTTCATTTTCAAAGTGTAACTGAACAAGTTGAAGGTAGAAGCTGATTAGTTGCTATGCACAGCTGCTTCAGAATCTATCTGCTCCAGTTTTGTAAACTTCCTCCAATGTGCCTGTTAGAGATTCTGTATATAGCCCAACAGAACAGACAGTGCACAGTCTATACTGTATGTGTTTATCTGTTGCTTCTCTGCTATCAGGAAACAGGAACTTTATTATAGAGAAAAAAGGTATCGTTTTATCTTAGATGCAGCTACACACCTTCAAACACTGCCATCTACTGGTTGAAGAATATATCTCCACTGAACACTGAAGTAGCTGTTGTAAAATACATGAACAGTATATTCCACATGTGTACCCAGTCTCTGTGGGGACAGCCTCATTGTTCAGAATCACTTGCAGTGTACCAATAGACCTGTAAGCAATGTCCCCATACTGATTTTATAGAACCTTTTTTTATTTGGACTTAGGTTTTCAACATGGATAATATCTTTCAAAACTGGAGAAGAGTACTCACCAATTAGAGGGAGTGTGTTCCCTACATTTTATACAATTGGTTAGTCCAGTTATTACACAGCATATCAATTTAGCAGAAGTGCTGCTTTGTATAAACCACAACAATTAATTTTGTACACAATGTAAAAATATCCCTCATTGAACAAATTCAGACTGCATACTATGCAAACATGGTTCCTTGTATGTTGCATCCATGTACAACACACAGGAGTGGATTTACTAGACAAATAGTTTGTGTACTTTGCAAGTGCAGTTGCTCAGGAGCTTAGTAAGCGAGATGAAGCTCTGCTGACTTTTATCATCCAATAATGTGCAGGCAAGAATGCTGTTATATTTAATTTTCCTTGCATGTGATTGGGTATTGTTTGCAGAGTGAAGTTCATCTCATTTACTAGGCTCTGGAGCAACAGTCTATTTGTCTTTAGCAAATCCACCCCGCAGTGTAGTAGGTTCAAGTAGAACATGCATGTCTCTGACTGAAGTGTCTCCTATGTGTCATATGAATGGGGCTCTTTTGAGATTGTAGAAACCTCCAAGGACTATTCCAGGGAGTCTGATATTTTATGCTTATATATTGCCATATATTTGAAATGCTACAATTTTGACCATATTCAATATGTTTAAAAAGAAAATAAATAAATAAATATATATATACTGTATATACATACTGCATGTTGAAATGCATTTTTATTACAAAATATATAAAAAATATTTTTAAATATACATACAAATATACAGTGTGTCTTTAAAAATACAAATCTACATTTGTGGAATGCATTTACAAATATATGTAAAAGTATATGTTAAAATGACTTTTTTATATGTTAAAAAAAATCTGAAGAATGTATTTATAAAATATATATTTTTACATATATTTGTAAATGCATTGAAAAAATGTAGATTTGTATTGTTAAAGACATACAGTATAACTGAAATGTATTTTTAAATATATTTTTCATATATTTTGTAATGAAAATGCATTTCAACATGTAGTATATATATATATATATATTTATATATATATTTATTTATTTATTGAAATATATTTTGAAATATATTGCATATGGCCAAAATTGTAGCATTTCAAATATATGGCAATATATTTGGAAAGAATATTTTAAAAATATAATTTCAAATATATGTTTCCTCCATATGGGAAGATATATCACAAATCTAATTTCTGTTGTCACAACATCACACTGTTTGTTAAAAAATAGTAATGGTAATACAATGTGAAGGGCCTTTTATGTTAAAGATGTAATTGGAATACATTATCTGACATTTGAAAACACATTCAAAGATTATTGTTATTTGTTTATTATTGTGTAATAACCTTTATTTACTAGGGCTGTTCCTGGTATTTATGATAAAGATATTTCCACTGACAGAGAATTCTCAACCAGGGTTCCATGGAAATCTTGGGTTCCTCTAGTGGTGTCCAGGGGTTCTTTGAACTGTGGCTGATTGACCTACATTTTGATGATGCCTGCATAGTTCCGAGACCAATGCCCCTTGGCAGAGCCAGCACATTGCACCAATAACCTTTGTATTATTCCCACTAACCACCAATGAATTGACATTAGTGAGGGTTCCCCGAGACCTGATAACAATTTTAAGGGTTGCTCCAAGGTAACCAGGTTGAGAAAGGCTGCTCTAAATGATCTAAGTTACCGGCTATGGGACATGTTTACTGATGCACAGACAGAGAACAGGTCCACCTATAGGCAGCCCTTATCTAACTATACAATACAAACCATACCTGGAATTCAACTTTAAAGTGGTTGTAAATCCCTGAAACAAACAAAAAAAAAATAACAAAGCATATCCTTCTATAGTGTGTACTTGCCTCTATCCAAGGAACCTAGTGTGATTTCTGTCTGCTCTGTTATTCCTCTGCTATCTGAATGAGTAATTTCTAAGAGTCTAAGTCTCTTAGATTGTAAGCTCCAAGGAGCAGGGCCCTCCTAACCCTCTTGTATTGAACTGTATTGTTGCTGTATTGTCTCCCTTTACATTGGAAAGCGCTGAGCAAACTGTTGGCGCTATATAAATCCTGTATAAGAAGAAGAAGAAGAATAAAAGAGTCAATGCTGACACCCTCCCAAGAGATGCCCCAACTGCCCTCCAACACACACAGCAAGTGATTGACAGCCTCAGCTGTGCATGGTTCACCATGAGACTGTGTATAGGGGAGGTGTCCTTTCCCTTGACTCACATCAAATTACAGTCAGCTCTCCTCTCTGTGCTATGAAGTGTTTCATGTCAGAATCCCTCCCCCTGCCGGCTGGAATCTCAGAAATGCTGTGTAAAATGTGTACTTTATAATGCTACAACTTATGTAGGAGGATTTATTTAATCTCCGCATATCCCCTGAGGCCAGTCACTTCATATATGTAAGAGTTTACAACCACTTTAACCTCCCTGGCGGTATTCCCGAGTGTAGCTCGGGGTAAACTTTCAGTACCAAAAGCGGTAACCCAGAGCTACATTCGGGAATACCCTGCAGTGTTGCTCTGGGATCCCTGTTTCACTTACCTTGTCCTGAGCTCCCGCGATGTATCCCCTGCAGCGTCCCCGGCCATCTCCTCCAGCCGATGCCAGCATCCGTCTTCTGGGTTCCGGTCCCTGCGACGTCGGGACGCACGGGACATATGGGGGACGGAACCGGCGGGAAATTCCAAAATTTTAAAAGTGACATTCACTCAATACACTAAAATCACATAGTACAACATTACTGTATCAAATCCAGGGGCGGACTGACCATTTGGAAACTCGGGCACTGCCCAAGGGTCCGGGGTCAGTAGGGGGCCCCATGAGATGCCCCTGGTACTGTTTTATAGGCTTTTTTGAGTTTGGGCAAGGACACAGGAGCCCCATGATCCCCTGTTGCCCGGGGGCCCCATGAATTGTCAGTCCGCCCCTGATCAAACCATTTCACATACATTTTGTCCCTAGTGCTTTGTCCTGTGCCCTGCCTGCATTTTTACTATTCTTTCTGCCTGGAAACTGAGAAAAGTCCATGGCGTCCAAAAAGCGTCCCTTTAGGTCAAAAGCGGGTTTAGATCAGCTAGAGAACAGCGATAGTAAATCAGAACCACTTGCAGAATTGAGAGATAATGATTCGTGGGGAAATTCGTCATCAGACACTGAAAATGATTTTGCGACTGAGCTCAGTGATGTGCGAACTTGGCGCTATATTTAAAATTTCAGTGTTTTTGCTTTGATTACATTATTGAATTAAATTTATAATTATTATATTATTATTTTTTATGATTATTTATTATGTTATAATTTATGATTTCGTGTTTCAACTTTTATCATACCCGGGATGTTTACTAGACTCTTGTATGGACAGATTTCAGTGAGTTATTCCTAAAAATTACAGGCCTACAATAAAAAAAAACGACATATTTCCATGCAAAAAAATGTACCACTTTGAGCACAGAAATATTGACATAATCAGACCACTAGGGAGGTTAATTATTTATTTATTATAGGTACTTATATAGCGCTGTCAATTTACACAGTGCTTTTTACATATATATATTTCACATTCACATCAGTCCCTAACTCTCAAGGGGTGTACAATCTAAAGTCCCTAACTTACATTCATACACATATTAGGGATAATTTAGACAGGATCTAATTAACCTACCAGCATGTCTTCGGAGTGTGGGAGGAAACCTACACAGGCACAGGTAGAACATGCATACTCCAGGCAGGTGGTGCCATGGCTGGGATTCAAACCAATGACCCTAGTACTGCCAGGCGGAAGTGCTAACCATTTAGCCACTGTGCTGCCCACTTAGCCACTGTGCTAATACCTTCAGTAGTTTATTTCCAGACACTGATCTATAAAAAATAAGACACAAAGGCAGTCCTTTCTTTCTCTCAGGTTTTTACTAACTCCATAAACACTCAGACACATAAAAACATAAAAACTCCATAAACACTCAGAACACTGTCTAGAGTTGCTGCTGAAGAGACAGAGCACTCTTCCAGTTCCTAACATGTTTTTCCTTTTGTTTTTAGGTTCCACATCGTCATTTTCAGCCGTTTGGTTTCGGTCCCCGTGCCTGTGCTGGGAAATACATAGCTATGGTGATGATGAAAGCAATACTGGTGACTGTGCTGAAAAGATACCGGGTGCAAACCCTGCGAGGACGCTGTCTGGAGAACATTCACAATAATAACAACCTGTCCACGCACCCTGATGAATTGCAGTCCTCATTAGAGGATGGCCTTCATTTCTCTGCACACAGCCCCGCTCACACATTAGTGCTAACTATGCTCATTTGTGCCGGGTCTGCAGATCTGAAATGTGATTAACCTAGAATTAGTGACAGTGTTGGTCTGTGTTAAATCTGGATTCAATCAGATTCAATCGCTGACGTTGTATTGTAGTGTCTGATACAGTTATATATTTTATGCATATTTAACATTAATTATATTATTAATAAAGTATTCGGTCTATTTTCACATTTTGCAAATATATTTTGGCATCTGTATTTGTGTATTTTAAGTATAATTTATTACTTTTACCATGATTTATCAATGAGGATGGCTGGCCTGTGTATATAGGTGCCGTTGTTGTACCATAGTAACTTGGGATCACTTAGGGATGTATTCATATAAAACTTCTGACATAGATATCTGTCAGGTGAAACTACAGGTACATTCGTCCTAGAGGCCATAATGTGATATTTTCCCAAACCACTCTATTTTTATGAATGAATACCATTAGACCCTATAGAGCAGGGGTGTCAAACTTGCGGCCCTCCAGCTGTTGTGAAACTACAAGGCCAAGTTCACACTAGCTTTGTTAGCAGGCATTAGACAGGTGTTTGGGAAACGCTTTTAACGCTCCTGAAACGCCTATGAAAATTCACACTTAAACATTAGTGTCGCGTCAAGGCAAAATTGATGCCTCATGTCGAGTCAATAGGCATTGAAGCCTCCCATTCAAGTCTATGGTGACGCTGCTCAAATGCCTGGTAGGCGTTTGTGGGGCAGTTGGGAGGCGGTTGCGGAGGATTAATACATTAAACTTCATTATAGGCGTTTGTGGTGCGGTTTTAACGGTTGGCAAACGCCTATCAAATGCCTCAAAATCGCACATAGGGTGTTTGGGGAGCGTTTGATGAGCATTTGACGCTTCCTAAACACCTGTCTAACACCTGTCAAACGCTATAGGGGCGTTAGAGAAAAGTCAAGTGTGAACGAGCCCTAAGTCCCATCATGCCTCTGCCTTTGGGAGTCCTATTTGTTACTGTCCATCTTGCAATGTCTCATGGGACCAGGGGCAGACTGACCATGTGGAAACTTGGGCACTGCCCGAGGGCCCGGGGTCAGTAGGGGGCCCCATGAGATGCCCCTGGTACCTTTTTCATAGGCTTTTTTGAGTTTGGGCAAGGACACAGGGGCCCCATGATCCCCTATTGCCCGGGGGCCCCATGAGTTGTCAGTCTGCATGGGACTTGTAGTTTGGCAACAAATGGAGGGCCGTCAGTTTGACACCTGTGCTATAGAGGAAATAAGAGGGAACATTTGATTGTACCAGCAGTTTTACTGGCTGAACGTCTATGCATACTTTATAAAACAAATACACACTTTAAAGTAGATGTAAACCCTAAATGAGCAAGTTTGCTAAAGCACTGTGTAGTTTTTAATGTATGATGTTTTCACATTTTTCCATCCTTAGTTGAAACCCAGCGCTACCAATCTCTTACAGCCTCTTTGCAGCAACTGCCTGTCTACGTGCATGCACTCAAACAATGACTGCATGTATTTAATATTCATTGCAGGATCACTCCCACATGGAAGAAAAAAATATATTTAAAATATATTTTAAAAATATTCTTCCCAAATATATTGATATATATTTGAAATACTAAAATTTTGGCCATATTCAATATATTTCAATATATATATATACTGTATGTTGAAATGCATTTTTATTACAAAATTTATGAAAAATATTTTTAAAAATACATTTAATCTACATTTTTGGAATGCATTTACAAATATATGTAAAATATATATGTTAAAATGACTTTTTTATATGTTACAAAAAAAATCTGAAGAATATATTTAAAAAAAAAATATTTTAAAAATACATTTTCAAATATACTGTATGTCTTTAAAAATACATTTAATATACATTTTTGGAATGCATTTACAAATATATGTAAAAATATATATGTTAAAATTACTTTTTTATATGTTACAAAAAAAAATCTGAAGAATATATTTAAAAAAAAATATTTGAAAAAATATTTTTCATCTATTTTGTAATATATAAAAAAACGCATTTCAACATACAGTATATATATATATATATTGAATACGGCCAAAATTGTAGTATTTCAAATATATATTAATATATTTGGGAAGAATATTTTTAAAGTATATTTCAAATATATTTTTCTTCCATGTGGGCTGGGCATTATTTTAAAGTTGAACTGCAGGCAAACGACTAGATAAACAGATGAACTACGTATATGGGAGCTGTTTTACCTTTAAAAGGATTTCTATTTCTGACCATCTAGTCCAGGGACTTATAAAGCTCTGCTTCGCAGCACAGCCCCGTCTAGCAGATGAGGGGTCCTGAACTATCTCTGCTGCAGTTTCACTTTTACTTACAGGTCTTCTCCTCATCCCTACTCTGTGACTGAACAGTGACAGTAGAAGCAACATAATGATAATCTCATCCCTTTTGTTGCTCTACTCTCTCCTGCTATCATCATGTTCCTTGCATGCTCCTTGAACTGATTGGTTCATTGTGCTGCCCCTATACCCCTTTTCTGAGCTCATTTGTACTGGCACTGCAAGAGGCTAATACTAAGTCAAATTCAGGTACCTATACTTCTTAAATTGAAAGATTAAATTGAAAAGAGATGTATGGTCAAAGCTTTTTTTTTTTTTGGCCGTACTTCTCTTGTGGGTCACAGGATTTCACTTACTTTTGCTCTCCTGTGACCCACAGTTAGCTAATAGTGAACTATTGCCTGCTATCAGCTGATGTGGCAGAGCCACTACAGGCTATAGAAGGATCCTGACAATATTGTTGGGATCCACCTGGCTGCCTGGTTGGCACCTGGCTCCGCCTCTCAGCTGTGTCAGCCCACTCCTGGGGCTGCAGTGTACACTCAAAGAGAAGAGCAAAGAGCCATGACTGACAGTCATCGCTCCAAGCAGACCGAGAGCTGAGTGATCAGCGGTTATGTGATCACTCAGTTCTGAGTTTTAGAGCCAACGTCAGAAAGCTGCAACACCGCACTGAAAGGGATGTATGACAAAAGCTTTTTGGGCTATACTTCTCTTGTGGGTCACAGAGGTGCACTTACTGTGACACAGAGTCGGCTAATAGCAGGCTATTGCCTGCTACCAGCTGACGTGACAGAGCCACTCCAGGCTCTGGAAGGATCCCGACAATATTGTCTGGATCCTCTCAGCTGCCTTATTGGCAGCTTGCTCTGCCTCCAGGGGAGGACTGACCATTCGAGCACTCGGGCATTGCCCGAGAGCCCTTTGTCAGTAGGGGGCCCAATGAGATGCCCCTGGTACCTTTCATTGGCTTTTTCATAGGCTTTTTTTCGGTGTGGGTGAGGACACAGGGGCCCCATGATCCCCTATTGCCCGGGGGCCCCATGAATTGTCAGTCCGCCCCTGTCTGCCTCTGATCTGTTCCCACCCCCTCCCAACGCTTCAGTGTGCGCTCAAAGAGCAACATGGAGAGCAGGGGCGGACTGACAACTCCTGGGGCCCCCGAGCAATAGGGGATCATGGGGCCCATGTGTCCTTGCCCAAACTCAAAAAAGCCTATGAAAAAGGTACCAGGGGCATCTCATGGGGCCCCCTACTGACCCCGGGCCCTCGGGCAGTGCCCGAGTTTCCAAATGGTCAGTCCGCCCCTCGTGGAGAGACATAACTGACAGTCACTGCTCTCTTTTCCAAGCAGACTGAGACCTGAGTGACCAGCGGTTATGTGATCACTCAGTTCTCAGTTTTAAAGGCAACGTCAGACAGCTGCAACATTGCATTGATGCTGCAGCATACAGGTGAGGATGTGTTTGTTTTTTTCAAATTCCATACTTTTCCTTCAATGATACATATATGATTACAGAACTGTGTTATATCTGCCTGGAGTTCAGCTTTAATGAAAGCTACGTATTTCAAAATATTGAAAGTTACTTTTAAAGTGACATCAATATTTGAAAGATTGTATGAGATTTTAGAGACTGGGTTTACATTTACTTTACGCTTTGCGGCATAATATCAGTTTCTATGGTTGTATAATAGTAGCAGTATTGTGTTACAGATGAAGTCCACTGAGATCTTGATATTTATTTTGTACGTTATAGTTATTTCATGGTGTCTATGTGCTTAGTACCTGTGTGCATTGCAATGCTTGGGGTCTGTTTGATTTCTGCCAAGGACACTACCTGCATACAGTTTTAGGCTGCTTACATAACACAGTAAAAGTCGTGTATTTCATATGTGTTTTGCGTGTTTGTGCGTATGTGTATCAATGCATTCTGTTTGGCAGAATATTAAAATAATCTGACAATTAGAATGCATTAACATGCATATGCACTAACATGCATAAATGTGCCTACCATTTGGTGTGTTTTTTGTGTATTTCACATTTTTTTCTGCCCAAAAGCTCCTTTCCTGAATATGCTGTTGATGGGTTTTTTTCTGCCTGTAAAATCTCTTCTAATACACCACCTATGTGTGCATAGACACTTGGTCTAACATTGCGGTGCCTTTAAAAGCAGAAAAAAAAAAAAAAACTGTAAAAGCAGCATTTTTAAGCCCAGTCTGTATGTGGCCTTAATGGTCTTACTGTGTGTCCGTAAATGTCTTCTATGCGTTCTAGTTTCCACCACAAACCCAAAGCAATACTGGTAGATTGTTTTGTTTCTACCCAAAATGACCCTGGTGTGTATATGTATAGGTATATGGTAGGGATAATAGATTGTAAGCTCTCTTGGGCAGGGACAGACATGTATGGTTCAGTATTCTTTGTAAACTGCTGAAGAATATGTTGGTGCTATATAAATTAATTAAATAAATATATTTCTTCAGTACAGATCCATTGTCTCCTCTTGGCCTGGTTAACAAGAATCCCCATAATTCCAGAATTTTTATGAACCCTTTGATGAGCCTCTACAACAGTGGTTCTCAACCTTCGTAATGCCGCGACCCTTTAATACAGTTCCTCATGTTGAGGTGACCCCCAACAATAAAATTATTTTCGTTGCTACTTCATAACTGCAGCAGCTCTTCTCATTCCCGCTATACAAGGCGTCACACCTCCCCCATCCCCACCACACAGAGCAGCCAGCTCTCTTCACACACGACCCGCTCTCACCTCAACACCGCCGCCATCTTGGATCCGCTCTCCCCTCTCCTCCACCCAGTCCCCAGCTAGCCGACTTCCTGACAGAGGCCACTCCCAATCTGAGGACGTCAAAATTTCTTCATTGGCGCTTCCCTTTGACACGCCACCTCGTCTGGTTGGTCAAGTTCTAGTTTAATCTCGATAAGCCCCGCCTCGCATTTACAGCTTGGATGATGTCGCCACTCAGCGATGATTGGGGAGCAGTGCAGACAATGGGTGGGGCAGATGTTGTGGGAGATGATAGACTGGGACAGAGGGGTCAGGTGTCATCACTGCTGACTGTTCTCTTACTCGTATGTGGGCGTATCTGCATGTGGGCGGACCCGTCTGGAGATGGATAGAGGAGTGATGTCTCGTTTCCTAAGACCATCGAAAATATGTGTTTTCGATGGTTTTAGGCGACCCCTGTGAAAGGGTCGTTCGACCCCCAAAGGGTTCGCGACCCACAGGTTGAGAACCGCTGCTCTACAGTCTGGTAGCATGGTGTCATTGCTTTGTGTCCTTAGTACAAGGAATAGAGGTATACCGCTCAGGCAAACAATCCAGATCAATCCACAACAGGTGCAGGCTCTGGCTCACCACCACACACATAGTTAGTCTGGCTGAAAAAAGACAAAAGTCCATCCAGTTCAACCATAGAAAAAAAAGTTATAATCCTGTACCCACAGTTGATCCAGAGGAAGGCAAAAAAAAACCCAGCAAAGCATGAGCCAATTTGCCCCTGCTGGGAAAAAAATTCCTTCCTGATCCCCCGAGAGGCAATCGGATATTCCCTGAATCAACTTTACCTATAAATGTTAGTATCCAGTTATATTCTGTGTATCTAAGAAACAATCCAGGCCATTTTTTGAAACAATCCACTGAGCTGGCCAGAACCAACTCTGATGCAACAGAAAAAAGTGTCAGCCGCACATCGGAGGATTGATGAATATAGTGTATATTTATTGATCCATAGGACACACAAAACACCAGGACATGAATACAGGACCTGTTTAACGTGTTTTACATGATCTCCTGCTTAACGCATCGTGTGAAACGCATCCTGGTGTTTTGTGTGTCCTATGGATCAATAAATATACACTATATTCATCAATCCTCCAGTGTGCAGCTGACCCTTTTTCCTGTTGTCTTTAGTAACATGACATGTATCTTTGCACATTTTGAGGATTAGGGCGGTTTGATGGCATGAGTGAAGCTAAATGATGGATGAAACCTGAAGTGCAAGAGTTTAAAATTATCCTAATTCCCATTTCCCTAAATTTCACACCAGCATGCTTCTCTGCATGGTGCTGTAAAATCGCCTAACATTTTTTTTGAGTGCAATGATTTTCTGCTTTACTCACCTTTTTTCTCTCCCACTTTTTGATTTTCATGACGGTAGTGGTAAAGTAGCCCTAGCTGCATAGATGCCTCGAGGAAGGCAATACTTTTGCTTTCAGGGAAATCCTATACCTAAACTGAGAGATCTTGTTGGATCTTGCAGTGTTGTCATTGCGTACATGAACAAGATGAAGTGAGTGAAGTAATGCTCCTCATTCTGCTCATGCTCTGTACAAAATTACATTCATACAGTTCCCCAAATTCTTTGAAACTGTACAAAAAAGTCTGCAGATAAAACCACTGTAATCTCTTTGCTGGCAAACTTGCCCAGTTTAAAAAAAAATGCCAGTAGCACGACCAGGATGGTGAACATACATTGCGGTGGAATTAAGGGCAACTGGTGTCCTAAGCCAGTGGTGTATATAGGTTTTGTGCTGCCCTAGGCAACACAAAAATAGGACCCCCCCCCCACGTGGAGAGAGCCTGACATTGACCAACAACACACTTGCCCCCCTCCACATGGAGAGAAAGTCACTCACCTTTACAACTCCAGACATCTATGGAAACGAGAATCGGGCTCTGCATACACCATCAAGTCCACAGCCTCTCTTGGCACCTGGTCCCCATGCTGCAAGTGTCCCTTCTTCAAGGGGGCAGTGCTTCCCCCCCCTGAGAAATGCCACCCTAGGCAACTGCCTTGTTTGCTTTGTGGTAAATACGTCCCTGTCCTAAGCACAGCCCAGATATGGTGCTCAGCTCAGCTGCTTAATTGCCAAACTGACAGAACATTAATGCTCACTAGTTGCTCAAAGTGAGATAAAAGTCTGAAAATGTATAATCCTGCTTCAGTTTTTTTCTAGGTCCCCACAACTATATTAAAGAAAAAAAAAAATTCCCATGCAGTGGGACTGTGCCTGCATTACACTGGGTTAACTGCTCGATTTTGTCTAGGGGTAAGGAGAGTGGAGATACAGTATACTTACCTAACCCACCAATCCTCCCGAGCAAGATGGGTCTCAGCCACTCTTGCCCCCATGCATCATCACACCCATAGATCGGCTCTGTATCTGAGAACGACAGGAACAGTCCACCGCTAGACGCCGGGAGCGTGATTTTCTGGAGGATCAAAGTATCGGGTGAGTATAGCTTTTCTGAGCACCCCTGGACAACATGAGCAGTTAACCCATGCAATGCAGGCTCAGCCCCACTGCATGGGAAAAAGAAAATTTTCCCGGAGTTCTGCTTTAAATGAAAACATTTTAATCTGATTTATTTATGACAGATTGAGCATGGATCAAAATCAAGTAACTGACTGAGGCATTTTATTTAGAAATGATGAGGGAATTGATAGACAAAGGTAGATGCGCCCAATAGAAGTCTATGGGTTTTCTAATGCATTTGAGGGACCAGGAGAGAGAGGGCCAGCAGTGCTGGATGGAAGTAAACAAAGGAAGCCACAGTGGGTAGATCTCAGAAAAGCTGTCCATACAACAATTTTGTTGGATAACTTTCATTTGAGGACTGTTCGTCCAATTTTTTAATGACTCGTGGGGTCAAATTTTATTTTCGACAGCAGTGAGGAGAAAATTCAAAAGAGCAGGATGGGAATTTTTGACATTTCTATGTATGTGGTTTTCATTCAGGAAATAACTTTCATACAAAAATCTAATTTTAAAAGCAAACAAAAATTTAAATTACTTTCAATTTACATTTGTCATGTCTTTAAAAGTACTATAACAATTTTCATATGAACGCTCGTAAAAATGTTCATACAAATGGTCATTCAAAAATCTTCTCGTGCACTTTGTTTTAAAGTGCAGTTAGCCTTTAAGGACAGGATAGCTCATGCAAAAATCTGTGGGGCTTCCTTCCCTTGGTGCCCTAAGCAGGTGCTTACTTTGGTTAATGCTTCTTGCAGTCCTGACATACAGCGTATATGATGAAGGTGCAAGTGTGTTCTGTATGCACATCAAGATCTATGTGCAGCATACTTTAACTTAATGACCAGATCAATATAATGTCAGCATTGAACTTCATTTGGAGTGCTATGTTGTCTTACAATGTGGTCTTATAAAAACATGGTATCTCAAATATTACACCTACAAGGTGCACCATTAACACTGGCTTCACACATTATTATGGACTTTGGAATGAGATAACACAACAGAAACTGTTTGCCTTCAGACTCTCTCCTGCCAATAAAATAACATGTACCCATTTGAACCAAACACAAGCATGCAGGAGGGAGAAGCAGGATAAGCCACTGTTCTGACACATTCAGTTATATTTTTTAATTTGAGCTTAAGTCCTTATGCACACGGGACATTTGTACAGCTGCTTTTTTGGCTTTTGACACTTTTTTTTCTACAGCCAGTAAACTCCCCAGCATGTTATCATATGTGTCCATGCACACAGACTGTAATCAAGATTTTTTTGGCTGGAATATTTTTTGGCTTGAAAAAAAAAAAAAATAGAACTAGTAGGAGTTTTATAGCTGTAAAAACACTCTAATGCTGAAAAACAAGGCAAAACGCTGTAAAACGTGGCAAACCAGCGTTTTTGGAGGGTTTTTTTTTTTAAAAAAATATATTTTGAGGCTGAAAAAACGTGGATAAATGCTGATACAAAAACTCTAAAAAAACGCTGAAAAACTCAAGTTTTTAACATGATTTTACACTGCTAACATTACCAGCGTTATTAAAACGCCCAGTGTGTATGGAGCCTAAAGGATAAGCTCACCTTTATTAGCATGCTTCATGTTACACCCATATTAAAGTAATATGTTACAAACCCTCCCCCCCACCCCGGCACAACAAGCCGATCCCCCATTGTGACAGCGGACAGTGGAGCTTCTCCCCACATCTGTTGTCACACTTCAAATACAGTGCTGGCTATACAGGGCCCCGCCCACACATTTTGTGAATGGATGAACTACAAGTACCATCTTCCATTGCAGCATTCAGCTTGTAGTTCTCAATGAACTGCAAGGGTGCTGGTGAATGCTCTCATAGTTCATTGACCTTCCTGGTCTTCAATACTTGCCTGCCCATACAGAATTTGTGGGCAGACAGCTGATCATGGGTGCAATGCTTTCCAGGCTACTAAGAAAAAAATTATAAATGCCCATTTTTTTTTACCTGTAAAAAATGTGCATTTATTGTTTTTTTAAAGGGGAACTTAGCCTTTAAATGTGATGTCAAATTTATATGGAAAAAAATGTTTAAACGCTTACGTTTAGTCCTAGGTAAAAAAAAAAAAAATATATATATATATATATATATATATATATATATACCAAAACAATATAAATGTCCTTTAACCTAAATAGCTGTACTCCTTTCTATTCTTTGTACTTTCTGGGCAAAATTTTAAAAATATTATGCAGTACATATCTGGGCCTGTTCACACTAGTCCATAGTATTGCAGTAAAAAAATGTAAATTAGGCTGGTTCACATCTATGCACTGCAGTTTAGTGTGAAAGACAAAAGGAAACTCTATGGGCCATTTATACCTACACTTACTATATGTGTCACCATGCATGCTGCATATACAGAGAAAATACAGAGCAGTGTAAATCAAGCACTACGTGGTGGGGGTGCTCTGTAGTCCAGCAAGGCTGATGACAATTCTTGGGAAACCAGTGAACCTGATGGCAGAATTGTCAGTCCACTATAGGAAGTTAGGAGCTCATTGGATTGCTGGAAGGATCCACAGGTAATTTTCTGCACTTGCAGCACGTCCAAATATATAAAACTTTTATTGCAGAGATATATGGAATGTTTTATTTGTAATTTTTCCCAGACATACACTTTAAGTAAAAACTGACTTCCATATGTGTCTGTGGAAAATAACCTGTAAGTCAAACGTTATCAGTATTTACAGTATATCCATTAAGATCCATAAAGATCACACTGGCCAAATAATGCTTTGCCTTTGCAAGTATAGATTACATCTATGTGACATTATTTAACCACTTGCCCTCCTGAGGATTTAGGCCGCTTCCTGACCACGCCATTTTTTTGCGTTACGGCGCTGCTTTACTTTAATTGACAATTGTGCGGTCATGCAACCCTGCATCCAAATGAAATTTACGTCTTTTTTTCCCACTAATTCAGCTTTCTTTTGGTGGTATTTGATTGCCTGTGCGTTTTTTTTATTTTTTGCGCTATAAAAAAAACAACAATTTTGAGAAAAAAACAATATTTTTGACTTTTTGCTATTAAAAATATATTTTGGAAAAAAAAAATAAAAAATAAAAATGTACAGTAAAAAAATGTAAAAAATCAAATTTTGTCATAAATTTAGGCCAAAATGTATTCTGCGACATGTCTTTGCTAAAAAAAAAAAATCCCAATACGTGTAAATTAATTGGTTTACTTGAACGTTATAGCGTTTACAAATGACGGTATAGATACTGGAATTTTTTTTTCTCTACTAGTAATGGCGGAGATCAGCGACTTATAGCGGGACTGCGGCGGACATTCTGACACTGGGGGGAACTGACTTGGTGTCACTAACATCCCCCAGTGACACCAATACAGTGATCAGTGCTAAAAAAAAAAGCACTAACGCTGCATTAATGGCACTGGGCAGGGGGAGGAGTTAACATGAGGGGAGATCAAGGGTTAACTGTGTGCAGGGAGTGTTTTACTAGGGAAAGAGGGGTGTTGGTGCTTCACTGTAAGCACACTGTTCTGAATGGCTGTGCTGTGCACAGTCATCCAGAACAGTGTGCCAGAGCTGACAGGGAGGAGGACCGTTAGTAAACAAAGCAGTCCTCCTCCCCGTCGGCAATCGTCAGAAATCACTGGGCGCCTGCGAATAATTACTGGCTGGGACCAGGTGATTGACAGCCTTGAATAGCAGCGCGGGTAGGGAGTGCAAAATCACATATATATATATATATATATATATATATATATATGTGATTTTGCACACCCCTGCCGCCCTGTAGCAGTATTTCTGCTATAGGGCGGTCGGGAAGCGGTTAATGCACTGAATAATTTTTTTTTTATTTCTTAAGTGTATTTTTTGTTAACATACAAATA